TAATTCTGGTATCAAACTGGGTTAGGACAAATTCATGGAATTGCCTCACAAGTCTAGGAACTTCATCACGGGACTTCATAAAAAATATCCAAGTGAACTGAGAAAAGTCATCAACGAACAAGATAAAATATTTGTAGCCACCCATAGAGGGTAAGTGGTAAGGCCCCTATATATCAGAGTGCACAATATTAAAAGGAGAATAAGATCTTTTATTACTCAAAGGATAATTGTTTCTACAATGTTTTGATAGTTCACAAGACTCACAATGAAGTCTAGACAAACTAATTCCCTTAAACAGTTATGAGAATAAATGACTTAATGCAAAAAAAAGAAAGATGACCCAAACGAAAATGACATAACATGACTCGACTGATGGACTCTGTAGATGTAGACCCAAAAGTAGCTTTTCCAGGTTGTTCATGGCACTGTCTAGAAGTATCCAACAGATATATTCCATTTGCCTCAAGGACACTCCCAATCACCTTCTGAGACTCCAGATCCTGAAAAACACAGTAGAAAGGGAAGAAGGTTACACAACAGTTTAATGACTTAGTTAGGCTACTTACAGATAACAAGTTTGTATTTAGTCTGGGTACATGAAGAGCAGAAGGAAGAACCAAGGAGTTTGTAGCCTTGATGGTTCCCTTGCCGGAGATAGGGGCAAAAGAGCCATCGGCTAGGGTGATTTTATCACGTCCAGGAAGTAAATCATATGAAACGAACAAAGTAGAAAGGCTGGTCATATGATCAGAAGCACCAAAATCAATAATCCAAGGGATCCTACGATTACCTGAAATGGTTGCATGATTGGTAGAAGCTCGTATACCTGAATGAGAAAATGCAGAAGAGGTTGAATTTCCTAAAGGGTTGGAGGAAGTGGTCACACCCTCTAGGTGACTGATCATCCTCTCAAACTTCTCATATTCTGCCTTCATAGCTGCTAACTGCACACTAGCCGTCATCTCTTCAGTTTGATATCTGTCACTATCTGGACCAGCAACAACATTAGCACTCCCTGCCTTTATATTATCAGACTTCTTCTGAAACCGAAGTGGTAGGAGCTCAGGATGCAATTTCCAGTACTTTTCTTTAGTGTGTTTTGGCCCTGTCAAGAACTCAAACACCCTGTTTCTCTCAACCAGTTTTCTGTTGGTCTCAGCATCATTAGTGGTTTCCCAGGTTACAACTTCTATCAAATCTATTTCTTGCCATAAAGACTTCAGTGTTGAGAAGTATACAGCTAATGGTTTCTCCCCCTATCTCAAATTCTTCACATCACTTCTCAACTTGTAAGCCCTGGCCACATTTAATTTTTGGAAATAGGTTTCACCAACACTATCCCAAATTTCCTTTGCTGAATTCATCTACAAATAGTGCTGACTAATCTGTGGTTGCATTGAGTTCACAAGCCACCCAATAACGGTATAATTTTCTTGCATCCACTTTTCATATGATAGATCATCTTCCGGAGGAGCCTTTTTGCTCCCGGAGATAAAACCCCATTTGCCTCTACTACAAATATGAATCTTTACTGATTGTGACCAAGCCAGATAATTAGTTCCATCCAGCTTGACTGTGGTCACAGCCAGCAGAGAGTCTGTAGAGGCTCCTGGAACCTTTCCGGATTCCGCAACATGCTTGTTTTCAAAGTCTGAGGAGTTCATCTTCTTAAATACTTCAAAAATGACTTCAAACAACTTCGAATAACAACAAATGAAGACAAAACAAAATCTGTGTTGTAAGCCAACCTCTATGCAGCTGTACCAGTAACCTGTGTCACACCTGGAAGTTGGGAGAAACGGAGAAAATTCAGCCGCTCCTTGTAGACTTCACAGAACACCAATCCACTTGATTCGATCTTCAAGAAGGAGAATGAGAAAGCCTTCAGTCACCGAGTGCCTAGGTCAAACTCCCTATGGGGCCCGCAATAAGATTTCTCAAAAAAATTAGGGTTTCGGGCAACACACTTGAATCTGTCAAGAGGACAACAAAACCAGTCCTCTTCTCTCCAAAAACCAGTAACAACTGGGCTGAAATAGGTGTCTTTAACTATTCATACGATTCAGTTCTCCATACACACTGTGTATGGAAAAAAAAATGTGAAAAAAAGGGAAAAACGAGCTTGCTCTGATACCAAGAAGAAAAACAGCCTTTTGAGAAGAAAGGACTGTTTAGAAAGATGCAAAAGTTCAAAAGAAAGTAGCAGAAATCAGAGTTCAAGAGGAGAGAAGAAGAAGAAGAAGAAGGTGGCGGCAACTTGGGTTCAGAGAGAGATTTTTCGAACATAATCTCTTCTCTTACTCCCTTAATTCTATTTCATTAAGTTAAACTTTGGTAATTTACAGAAAAGCCCCTAGTTGGTCAGAAAATTAAAAAGACATAACATAAGAAAGAATAAGTCCAGATTAAGGCCCATTACAGCAAAGAACATAAAAGATAAAAAAGGATAAACAGCCTATGGGCCATTCGGCCCATCTTCTCTACAACATGTTCAGATTTGCTCCAGAACTAACTAGATCATATCCTAATCAGACCATATTATGTCATATACCCTATCATTCCCTTGGAAAAAGAATCCAATCTGATGTTTTTGGCACTTGATCTATTCCAATATTTTACCAAAAAATGATCTATTCCAAGATGTCATTTTCTTGTAAAAAATTCTTACCTTCAGAAATAATCATCATAAGAGGTTGGGGATGATGTTATTAAGAGTTTCCCAGTAGACCTAAACTTCACTCTTCATTTTCTGCAAGGGAACAAAGGAGGCTAATCTGTCAAGTATAGGTGTGTCGTTATTTGTATGCATACCTAGTTCTAAATGGCTAGCATGCCTTTTTTCTCTCCTATTTGACAGACTGCTGCAAGCTATCATGCCATTGCCATAGCTCTTTCACTGATGGAAGCATATTCGCTCAGTGTACAGCATGAGCAAACCACATTACAGATACTTCAAGCCAAACTTGGCCCAGAAGATCTCCGTACTCAGGTAACTCTTATGGTCACTGACTATCTTTCTCTTTTTATTGGATTTAATCATGAGGCAGTACAAAAGGTAGTCGAGGCATGTTTTGGACATATCTGGTCGTTCTCAGTGTTTTCTTTTCTTTTAGTATAATTTTCCTTTTTACATTTAAAAAAAAATGAGATTGCTCAAACTTTTTAACGTTTTTTGTATGAACACACCATTTGTTTCTATGCAGGATGCTGCTGCATGGCTTGAATATTTTGAATCAAAAGCTTTAGAACAGCAAGAAGCTGCCCGCAATGGGACTCCAAAGCCAGATGCAACCATTGCAAGCAAAGGCCACCTTAGGTATTGATATAATATTACCATTTGGTTCATAACTATGACTATTTTCTTGGACACTGAACCTTTGGCTCCTTGTTGCAGTGTGTCAGATCTCCTTGATTACATAAACTTGGATCAAGATTTAAAAGCTAGAGATACACAGAAGAAACAGCGACGTGCAAAGGTACTTAACGCTGTTTTGTGCTTTTTCTTAATTAACCAAGATTCATAGTTTTGATTTCTATATGTTATGAAAAACTATGGTCCCTAAGATATGGGACTTTGAGGAAAATCTTCAGAACATTTCAACAAAATCTTTAATGAATATTAAAATAGTAACAGTTACACATTTAGGGACAAAGTGATTTGTAAAGGAATAAAAAAATGCACAACTGATTTAGGAAGCCAATGTAATTGGTGTGGAGAATGTATATTATGGATAGGCATCCATAGTAGCATCCACATATTACTTTTTATAAACAAATAAAAGTTGCATAATTCACAAATAAAGCATCCAATAACTAAAACTACTAAATTTTTTATTAATCATTAAAACAAAACTACAAATAAATTAATTCTCAAATTAGTAACTCAATCTAAAAGGCATATAATTACTAAAATAACTAAAATCTGCATCAAAATTTGCTTTGTAGTTTCTCTTAAATTAAGGCACCATTGCTTGGTTAATGGTAAAATCTTGGGCTGACAATGTCAAGACGGGTTAAAAAGTCTGTGAGCAGCCACTTTATGCAAAGAAATGGCAAAGGTTAGGTCCATATCCAGTCCACCCCTCCCAAAACCCCAGATAGATGGAACCAACATTGGGTAATTTCCCTGTTTTTGTCTCTTGAAGTAATAAGATCCTATTTGAATTTAGCAAACTATATATAATTGCTTTTTATTGTTGTATTGTAATATAAAGATTTAATTTATATTTTTACTGAAATTTTTAATTTGTACTCTCTCTTATATATTATAGCTGTTCTTTCCTTTGTTCAATTATTATATTCACATATTACCTATGGATTTCATTCATGGTATAGATTGGTAAAAAAACCAAAAATTTTGACTTCACTGTAAGCAGCATGGTCCTTTTATTTATAATGAAATCTGTGATTTTTTTACAATGTGTATGCTCTATCTACCAATAATATGATCAAACAATATCAATATTTAAAAAGAAATACTATTTTCATAGAACTTACCTCCATAAGATCAAACCAACTAACATATTTTTCAGAAAAAAAAATACCAATTTCAAACATATCTTCAATTGCCTGAAAAAGATACTATAGACAATTCAATTTTGTGATAGAGAAACTTTTATTGCTTACTGGTTCTATCTTCTTCAGTTTAACTTTTGACTTCATTTGAACTGCTTCTGCTCATTATGTTAGGTATTGCAGGTCAATGTTGGACCTCACAAAGAACAATACGATACAAGCATTGATAACACTCAATTAGATGCCAGCTCAATACAAATTGCTTTATCAGAAGACAACAGAAGAGAGGAGAAACCAGGTAGAATAAATGCAGAAGTTGGAGGAAATCATGATAGTAGCAGAGATGAACCAAAAAATATGAACAGATCAACCCCAGAAGAAATTTCTAATGAAGGTTGGCAAGAAGCCAGCTCAAAAGGCTGGAATGGCAGTATAGGGAGCCATAAGTTCGATAGAAGGAAACCAAATCTTGCAAAGCTAAATATAAACAACTCTGGATCCTCTGACTTTAGAGTTGTCAATTACAAGAGGAAAACAATGTCACCAGCAGGGAAAACAACCCTGAAAACGTCTCCAGATGACATTTATGTGGCTGTAAAGCACCCAATGACTCCAAACTTGAGTGTTGCAGAGGATCCAAGTAAATTGCAAGAAAAGATTCCAGTCTCTAGGATCTTCTCTGCGCCAACCACTCCTGCTTCTCTCACTGCAATGGTCTCAAAGTCTCTTTCTTATAAAGAAGTAGCTGTGGCACCTCCCGGTACAGTTTTAAGGCCAACACTGGAGAAACCTGAAGAAATAAACAAGGAAACAGTTGACATTCAGGTTTGTGATATTCCACCAGAGGCATCCAATGTAGAAGAAGCCAATAGCATTCTTGTGGAACAAGCAAAGTCTAAGGAGGAGGAACCCATAAAGACTGACCATAATGAAACTCAAGTACATAAAACTGCTCCTGAACATGAAAAGACTAATCATGAAAAGGCCCCAGAAAGAAAGCTTTCTGCTGAAGCCCAGCCTTTCAATCCGCAGTCGTTATCTTTGATGACTCATTCCTTTAACTGGGCAACAAATTCGTATCATGTAACGGAGATCCAAGGCATGGCTTCACCTCAACCTATGGAGATGAATCCTCCTGTTGGCACTAGAGTCCCATGTGGGCCTAGATCACCATTTTATCACAGAACAGGTCACTTCTTCCATAAGAAACATGGTTTTTTTAACTATCAAAACCCTGCTACAGATAGAAGTAGCTTCAGGTCTTCAAGAAATATGAATCCTCATGCACCTGAATTCATTCCAAGAAAAGCTTGGCAGCCCATTCCTCAAAATGGTAATCCAGAGCTTCCTATGGAGTCAGATCAGGAATCTGGGTCTTTGGTTGGGAAAGAGGAGTTGACATCAAAGGAACAAAAACATGATCAAGTAACCAGTGTTGAAGATAGAGATGGTGCATTAAAAAGCAGCAGCTTGGACTTGCAAAAGGCAGAGCTTGCAAGGCAAATACTGCTTAGTTTCATTGTGAAGAGAGTCCAAGATAACTTGGATCCCAAAAATGAGGCTAGTGAAAGAAACTCTGACACTCTCGAGAAGTCTTTAGATCCTATTGAAAGGGATAGTGCAATAATCAAGGTTCATTATGGGAATGAAGGTAAAACAGAATCCATATCCCATTGCACTGATCAGGAACAATCAAAGACTGTAGATATAGATAAGGACAAGAATGTGGATGGAGAAGGTTTCACACTTGTCACAAAGAGGAGAAGAAACCGACAGCACTTCACAAACGGGGTAACTGGATTATACACTCAGCAATCTATCTGTGCTTCAGTTCATTAGAGGGGAGAAGACATAAAAGAATGAGTCAATAAACGATGGTTCCCTTCATCATTGTCCAGCTCACTTGTCTAACTTGCAGATGCTTCACAGATGAAGTGGGCTATGCACTCAACAACCTCTCTTTGCTTCTCTCATTAGAAGGGAGAAGGGGCATAGAAAACATTCCAAAGATGTTCCTCTGTCCATTTTTGAATTTTTCTTGTCTAACTATCAGAGATGTCTTGACATCATGATCTAAAAGGGAAGGGAAGATATCATCGGTTTCAGTTCAATTGAGTTAACATTTACTAGATCCATTTCTTTGAAAGGAAATAAAGAATTTAAAACACGGGAAAAAATCTGCAATTGAGGACATCAGATATCTGAACTCCTAGCATCTTCTGCAATAAAAAGTCAGTACTTGGTAGATTTATTGCCTAGCATTGAACTCATTCATAAAGAGAGTTGGGTAACTTTCTTTCATACTTGATTGTAGCAACTCTATGACAGATGCAATATCAAAATTATTATCACAATGCGGCCAACTTTTAGAAAGCTACAATATCTTCACATGGCCAAACAATCTTCTGGTGCAGGCAATCCACAGAAACATCTCTTTATTTGTGTATTCTCATGTGTTTCTTAAAGCTTCAGTCCTATCTCATACATCCCTATCATCTTTTTTTTTTGTTTGTCTCCAGCAGTCACTTCATAAGATAACAAGATATAGAAAAAGAGGAAAACACTGCTCAAAATTGGTATTTAATAATAAAAAGGATTTTTTTTTTGAATTCTATCATCTTTTTTTACACCAGAAAGAATTTCATTAACTGCTCAGTGAGTACAATCAGAACATAAGAGTTGCAAAATAAAATGGGGTGGGCATGACCAAGTAAACTGACAAGAGAGAATAACAGCATGTCTTACTAGTTTACGAGCTACCTTGTTACAGTTCCCATTAGCATACCTCATTGAGCAGTGGGAGATTTTAGAGAGGAGCTCTCTGCAATTGGCAAGTGTTACTAATCCACCAAGGAGTTGTAGAACTATACTCCAACAGAGAGTTAACAACAGTTAATGCATCTGCCTCAAAAATGATGAAATTCAGATTTTTTTTATTGGAAATGATGACTTAATTAAGCAGATCAAGAAATATCGTGCACAACTGTCAGCCCCAAAAAAGGTGCTAAACCCAAAAATCCTTATTACAGTTCCGCCCAGAATAGATTCTCCCTCATTGTCCCATATTAATTTAGCTGAAGTATCAACTAGTCCATTAGCTGACCTAGTCCACTTGAAAGAAGCCCCAATCTCCTTTGTTATGTTGGCGATTTCCCTTATAGCATGTCTATATATCCAAGCTCCCAAACTACCCAATTTCAACCAATTAATAGCATTTTAGAGTCGCCTTCTATCTCTATGTAACCCCATCTGTTTGGAAAAGCTTACACCTTGAGGCAAAGCCATTACCTCTGTCCTCAAAGAGTCACCTACTCCTATAGGTCCTAATACATGGTGACAAGAGGCATGGTAGAAGATTGCATAGGTAATGGAGTGAGGATTGAAGTGAGTGAGCATATTTGGAAATGTGCTTTGTTATAAGAAGGTTTAGAAGGTCTAGAAATATGAAGATGGGACTTATGGGGGGTGGTCCTATCAAGAAAATTAAGAAATCTAGGGAGCAGAGAATGTAGTCTTGCGATCAAGGAGGTTTCCAGTGGTTTTTGAAGAGGTTTGATTTGGGTTTTAGGAGTTTCTTTTGCTGGGAAAAGTTTAAGGGATTGGGGTGGATCTTGCTTCAGGGTTTGTGTTTTTCTGGGGTTTATTTTTTAATTGGGCTAGTTGTTTCTTTTTTTTTCTTTCTTTTTTTTTTTTTTTAGTTGAAGGGGCTTGTTTTGATTGATTGGGCGTGGATATTTGGCCAATGTATTTTGGTTTTGAATGGAAAGGTTTTTGGTGGGTTGTTTGGTTTGGGTCTGGTTTTGAATGGAAAGGTTTTTGTTGTTGAGTGATGCCTTATCACCTTTTTTTGTAATCTTTCTCTTCCTAATAAATTTTATTTTTTTATTTATCTTAAAAAATACTAGAATTCCATTTGTTTCCTAGAAAATTTTATAAGAAATGATATAGTTATTAGATATCCATATATGTTAAATAAGCAAGGAGAAAGAGCAAAGTCCCATACAGACAATTCGTTTCAAAGGGTAATTGCCCTAATTTTAGCTATTACATACATATTCTTGAGCAAGGATTTAGGCTTAACGTTACCCAAACATGCATTTTTGTACCCAATTGCCAGACCTGATGCTGATGGAGCTCCATAACCTTCACTCCGGGTCAAGGTTCAAAAAATCGACACGTACCGGCCTGTTTCGGCCAATACGTATCGTATTGGGAGTACCTCGATATATCCTTACAGAGGATGTATCAGGATTTTGACCAATTCAAGGGGTGGAGGAACTGACCCCCCGAACTGAATTTGAAAAAAAAAATTAAAAAAAAATATCGATACTACCAACGTATCAGGCATATCAATATTTAGAACCTTGCTATTAATGTATTCCTTATCGGTTACATTATTTTGGACCCAAATCTTATTAATTAAACCTACTATGCCAGGTAATTGGTTTTTCAGCCATCGATCCTCACCAAGCACTGCTGGATAGTTAAAAGACATGTACCAGTTTTCTGAGGACATGTAAGAGTTTTTAATGAGGGATTACAGAATGGAATGGCAAAACAAGATTCAAATAGGCAATCCCTTATTCTTTGTTTGGTTTGAAGGAAAAACAGTAGAAAAACCTGTACCAACCTAGTATGGGTTTTCTTATATTTCCCTTCCTTTCCCTACTTTTTCCTTCAAACCCAAACATAGCCTTATAATTGGAACAAGGCTTGCATGATGATAATTAAACACTGATATTTTTTGGACGGGTTTGATATAGACCTGTTCGCAGGCTGGACTGGGCCGGTTTCAGGATGAACTTTATCTCTTTATAAATAGAAAAGGACCAAGTCCAAGCTTGAGCCCGGCCCTATATAAAGCCTGAAGTCTGGGCCTGAGCCCAAAGCCCGACAAATATTTTATAATATGTTAACTAGCGGCCCTGCTTCGCAGAGGCTGGAATGGAACCGTTGAGTTGTTGACCCATTGATCCAGTCCTTGGCCAAAAACCGTTGAATCGGTCAACAACTCATTGACCCGAATGGCCGAACCATCGATTTGTTGACCTGTAAAATGGTTTTTGGCCATTTTTTATTTTTTAATTGGGAACCATCCAGGCAACCGGTTCCATTTTATCCTAATCCCAATCCCGGGCGATCAAACCATTGACCCATTCAATGGTTTTTGGTCGTTTTTTTTTACTTCTATAATTTTTGTTGTCAGAACGAGCCATCCGTTTGAATTCAATGGTTTTTGTCCGCTTTTTATTTTTTTAATTTTTGTTGTCAGAACGGACTATCCGTTCGAACCGGACGGTTGAATCGTCGACTCGAAAACCGATGGCCAAAATGGTTCCATTTGTGGGTCGTATGTCACACGCTCGAATGGCATAACATCATGGTTTTTAAAACCGAACCGGTCAAGGGTCTAGTTACCAGGTCGAATGATTTGATATCTAGTTATTAACAATATTTATAATAACTAGTATACATGTATATAAACAATATTTATATAATTAGATAATTATAATAACAATATTTATAATTATATATTTATCTAACAATATTTATATAATTAATAGGAAATGGGCTGCTCTCACGTGGGAATCTACTCGCATCCATTTACTCGGGCGGTCGAACCATTGACCCGTTCAATGGTTTTTTGTCATTTTTTTTAAACTTTGTTGTTAGAACGGGCCATCCGTTCGAACCGAATAGTCGAACCGTCAACCCGAAAACCGGTGGCCATAACGATTCCTTTTTTAGGTTGTATGAGTCACATGCTCGAATGACATAACACGTATGGTACTGCTTAATGGACCTCACACACTCAATTTTGTGCTTGTAATTTTTGTTGTCAAAACAGGTCGTCCATTTTTTTTTTTAATTAGGAACAATCTAGGCAACCGGTTCCGTTTTACCCTAATCCCGGTCCTTGGCCAAAAACCATTGAACTGGTCAATGACCCATTGATTCGAGCGGTAGAACTGTCAACCCATTGACCCGTTCAATGGTTTTTGGCCGGTTTTTTTTTATTATTTTTGTTGTCAGAACGGGTCGTTCGTTTGAACTGGATGGTCAAACCGTTGACCTAAAAACGGTGGCCAAAACGGTTCCATTTTTGGGTCGTATGAGTCGCACACTCGAATGAGATAACATTTTGGTTTTTAAAACCAACCTGGAGATCGAACCGATCAGGGGTCCGATTACCGGGTTGAACGGTCCAATCGTTCGAACCGAACAGTCGACCCGTTCTGACAAAAAAATTAAAAAAAATAAAAAATGGTCAAAACTGTTCGAGCAATTTGAATGGTTTGATATCTATTTATTAGCAATATTTATAATAACTATTTTATATTTATATAATTAGATAATTATAATAACAATATTTATAATTATATATAATAACTATTATATATTTATCTAATAATATTTATATAATTAATGCGAATAGATTCTATTTCCTGAATGGAGAGAGCACCCCAATCCTATTAATATATATATACATATATATATATATACATATATATATATATATATATATATATATAAAGATTATATATTATTAATTTATTATACTTTTATTATATGTATAATATTTTCGGGCCAGACTGGGGGCTTGGGCGAGGCTTATTTGGGAAAACCTGAGCCCGGCCCAAATGTGAGCCTAATTCAGACAGGTTATAAAATGCCAATCATGGGTTTTGGTTTTGATGTATGTAATTACCAGGATATTGTTTGGTATGGCGATGGGTTGAAGGCTGCAATGCCGCATAGGTATTTTGGCTTTATCATTCTATTGTCACGTTTGGTTGGGCATTCGTTTTCTCTTAACTTTCTTAACTCTAACGTGGCATCGTACCACTTTTAAAGAGAAGGGGTTGCCATTTTTTTATTCAGCCTTAATGTCATAGGATGATATCATAAAATCTATTTTTATTTTCCAAAAATAGCCCCATTTTCTCCATATATATTTATATAAGGTCTAACCCGTCCAATTCAAATGGTTGAACCATTGACCCATAACTCAGAGGCAAAATTGGTTTAACCTCCACGTTGGTTTTTAATTAATGTTTAATTAATTAATAGAAAATTAAATATTTATTAAATGATAAAAATATTTAATTATTTTTAAATAATTTATTAC